CCCCCCCCCCCAATTCCTCTGCTGTCTTGACTTATCTGTTACCCCTAATCTCATGCAAACTTCAGCCCTTCCTCCCCTGGTCCCTGGCTCTCCCCTAAGAGTGGGCCAGTTAGGATGATGCATCCCCACTGTGGGTCAGAAAATCCAGAATTATAGTGGTTTCCAGAAGATAGGATCTGCAGCGTGGGCGAGACAACCAAACACAAAAGGCCACACTGCGTGTGATTCCATTTATGCAAAATGTCCAGAACAGGCAAATCCATAGACAGGAAGTGGGTTAGGACCTCCTGCCACCTGCCACCACATGGATGGCCCCAGAGGCCACTGTGGGCAGGGACAGAAGCCAGACACAGAAGGACACATCCCTGCGTGACCCCAGGCACAGGGGGGTCCCCAGAGGAGTCCCGTCCACAGAGAGCAGATGGTGGGAGCCAGGGGTGGGGAGTCCTTGCTTCATGGGGACAGAGTCTCGGTTTGGGGAGATGGAAAGTTCTGGAGACGGTGGCGGGGACGGCTGCCCGACTATGTGTGTGCCTGACGCCTCTGAGCTGTGCACTTGGAGACGGTCAAAAGGCTAATTTTATGTTATGTATATTTTACCCCAATCAAAAAAATAATAATGAAAGAAAACGCAGAAATGTTTGCCCACAAATATGTAGCTAGTGGGGGTTTTAATAGCAGGGGATTGGTTATCTACACACATCATAGCACAATTCCCCACAACGGAATACTACACTATCCCAAAAATACTGCTGGGAACATCTGTCATTGGAGTGTCAGCTCTTTCAGAGCAGAGTTTTGTCCGTCCTGTTCACTTTCATACCCCTGATGTCCGGACAGGTACCTGGCACCTAGTGGGCACCCAATATATACCCACCAGCGGGAGACTGTGCATGTAAAATGTGGTACCTGTTGAATGAATGGTAAAATATTCAAGCTATAATGCTAAGGGCACAAGAGGAGGTAATGTAACACCTGTAATTTCTTGGTCCCTCAAATGACCACTTTTCCATGTTTTATCGACGCAGGAAACAAAGAAATGCTGAACTATATCTAACTTAAAGCCATGGGTATGTGTAGCATGGTGGGGGGTGTTTTTTGGTGTTTTTTTGGGGGGAGGAGGGGTGTTTGTTTTTATTTTTCTTTTTCCCCCTGGAGAGCGTTATTACATTGAAGGAAGGGAAGCCTGGGTGGCTCAGTCGGTTAAGCGTCCAACTCTGGACCTCAGCTCAGGTCTTGATCTCAGGGTCCTGAGTTCAAGCCCCATGTTGGACTCCATGCTGGGCATGAAGCCCACTTTAAGGACAAAAAAAAAAAAACGGTGTTGTTCTCAACACCTGATGGCACTCAAGGATGAAAGAAATTCAGACATGTGCACAGAACAGGATATACAAGAGACCCGTTTGTAGGTCAGGGCACCTGGCTGGCTCAGCCGGGAGAGCTTGGGAGCGCGTGTAACTCTTGATCTCAGGGTTGTGGGTTCGAACCCTACGTTGGGTGTGAAAATTATTTCAAATCTTTTTTTAAATTTTTTATTTTTCTTTTTTTTTAAGGTGTATTTATTTATTTATTTA